CAAATTCCTGAACAGCCCAGCTTGCTCACTTCCCCAGGTAACCCCACAGCTAGGCGAGGAAACACCGCTGCCCTGAGTGTTCAGGTCAGGCAGGCCTGGATGCAGCCTTTTCCGTGGGGTGATTTGAGATGCGAGTGGCAGTGCGCGCTGTGTCCACAGAAGGATCCTCAGTGCCCGTACATAGCACGTGTGTCTCAATGGCAACCTCGTCCCACTGTCCCACTCGTCCCTGCCTCTCCCCACTTGTACTGTCCCCACTTGGTAGCAGAATGGGCTTTTAGCACTCTGGAAGGTGTTAGCTTCTCCCCTGGGATCACTTCTCCCCTGGGATTAAAGATGCGCATCTCCAGCTCAGGAGCCAAGGTTATTTGAATAGCAGCTTCTGAGTAAAAATAAATAGTCTTTAGAGAAAAATCAGCAACATTTTCATCTCCAAAGCTCCTCCTTGGACATTTGTTTTCCATGTTAAGCCAATTGCTTTACTCTAGCAGTGTCTGCAGAGACACACTCTATGTTTCTGTCAGTGCAGGCCTTCCGCAGATCTCTCGGACCTTTTTCTCTGAGGGTGGCATCCTGAGCTCTGCTTGTTATTAGATAGGAGTGTCTGGTCCTCCTTCCTCAGAATGCCGCCCAGGCCTGACCAGCAAATGTGACTGTCTGCCTTTCTCTGTCACCAGTCTGGTGTTCCGATCCTGGATGATACTTCCAGTGCAGTCCTCAGGCAATGGATGGCCCCCCAGGGTAGCTGCCAGCCACTCCCAAGTCTTCCTGGCCTGCTTGCTCTCCTTGGTCTCCATCCCCACACAAGAGTGGTCGCACCCCACTGTGACCAGGTACTCTCTACTGCTGAGGCAGAAGCTCTGGGCCTGTGCTCAGCCCTGGTTGCCTGTGCTGATTTGTTTCTCTCTGGTGAGCGCGGTGGGGGTGTGGGGGTGTGCCTGTGCTGGACCAGACATGGGAAAAGCCCACACACTCTGCCGGGCTGTCCTGCCACCTGCATTACAGTCCTGTGCGTCATGCTAAATCAAAGCCCCTCCCGAGGAACAGCTTTTCCTTCCAGGTGCTGTAAGTGAAGATCTCCAGCTAATACATTTATATCTGATGGTCTCACTGTTGCCAGCGGGCGACTGGAGCAGAAGAGCTGCCTGCTGTCTGTCCTCTGCTACCAATGACCTTTTTTTTTTTTTTTATTTTTTTTTTTATTTTTATTTTTTATTTATTTATTTTTTTTTATTTAAGGAGAAAAGAAAAGAAAGAAAAAAAAACAGTGAAGGGGTACAAGTTATACAGGTTTACAGAATAAAAAAATGCGCAGTAGGAAATCACTAGTTAATGGATTACATATTGCCATCTTAGAAATAATTGTTCAAGTCACAAAATTAAAGCTTGTAGAGTGGACATTCCAACAATGATACTGCAAACAGTTCTGTTCAATGATCCAATAAAACTCTGTGATATCATTTTCTATCTTATACTTTTAAATATACATGCAGTTATATAGTTTAGAGCACTTTCTTTTCCTCTCTTTTGTACAGTGACTATTACACATTTTGGGTTTCATTGCTCCCACAGTTCTTGTTGCTTTTTTGGAAGAGAGTAAAACCAAATGTGACATAACAGAACAGAATCGGTCAAGTCAAAAGGGTGGACATAATAGATAATATAAAAAACATAATACAAGGTGATCAACAATGGTTACCATAATGCCTCCCGCTATTTCTAATAGAATTGCCTATATCATTAGTTGTAATACAATTGAACAAAACCGTAAAGAATAAAACCGACAAAACCAAAACATTGGAGATATTGTAGGTCTTCAAAAGTAGATAAAAGTCAACGAGAATGGGCGTTATAATGAATCTCATTATCTTCTCAGCTGATGCCTAAACTTTCGAACCTGATACTATCCAGCAAAACAGAATATAGGAACCTCAGTCAAAAACAAGATGGTGAGAGTAATACAGGGCTTCAAATCGAGATAATAGAAAGTCAAAGTGGGTTACTATATTATATCCTGCTATATTTTTCCCTGTAATTAAATGGATAAAAATAAAAAAGTAAATAATGGAGTGGAGATTGAGAAAAAAAGAGGGCATAACAGCGAAACAGGGCAGATCAAAACATAACCATTTAAGCAGAATAGTGTTTCACCACCAGCTAATCCTGACCCAAAAATGGTTACCATATTGACTCCCTCCCTGAAGTCCTTGAGTACAACTTCATATACTGTAGCATTAAGTATATCAAAACAATGTAAATCCATTTAAGAGAATGACAGCATTATAGAGTATTTAGAATCGACTAACAGAAAATGAACAATGGTCTCTGTATAATCTCCTTGTCTTTAAAAGGTTTTTTCTTATACTATCGTACATAACAAAATCCAATAAGCTACAACCTGTTTAGACCATTGGAGACAGAAGAACAAAAGCTAGATGAGACTTCAAAACAAGATGGTACTAAATCAGCATTACCTATTAAGATGTCATTTTCTCCAAAAAAAGCTGTTCCTATCATCCAATCTTCTCTGTCTCATTTCTGTTGAGCTCTTTTTCTGTCAGTAGCTGTCAGTTTGTCTTCTTCGTTTTGTTCTCTGCTCTATTCGTTGTGGCCTCCCCGCCCCTATTTCTGGGTTCTTTGTATTTTTCTTTTTTTAGAATATCCTGCAATACTTTCTGTAGGGTTGAATTGGTGGTTGCAAATTCCCCCAGTTCCTCTTTATCTTGGAAGCACCTCGTTTTTCCATCAATTTCCAGGGACAGTTGTGCAGGATATCTCAATCTTGGCTGTAGATTATTATCTTTCAAAGCTTGAATTATTTCTCCCCATGCTCTTCGTGATTTGATGGTTTGTGAAGAGAAATCTGCTGTAATTTTGATGGGTCTTCCCTTGTAAGTGATCTGTTTCTTGTCTCTTACAGCTTTTAATATTCTGTTCTTGTATTGAATTTCTGGAATTTTTATTATTATATGTCTGGGTGTTTCTCTGTTAGGGTTGTAGGTAGCTGGGGTCCTGTATGCCTCATACATTTGAGTATCTTTACCTTTTGCTAAATTAGGAAAATTCTCCTGGATTATTTCTGTGAGTAGCTTTTGTAGTTCACTTGTTTGTGTCCCTACTTCTTCTTTTATGTTCTTAATCCTTAAGTTATGGCTCCTCTTATCATCTTCTTGTCTTTGTATTATTGCTGTGTGTTTCTTTGTTATTTTTAAGAAGTTTTTCATTTCATTCTCCCATGTTTCAAGTCTGCCCTCCAATTCAGATAGTCTGTCCTTAGTTTCTTTCAAGCTGTTATGCCAGTCTTGGGTAGACTTCTTGATTTCTTGATAGTCCCTTTGCACCTGCTTCACATACTCCATGCTTTCTCTGTTTTCTCCATCAAGCAATTCTCCCCTCTTTTTCTGTTCTTCCACTCCACCATCTGCTTTTTCCTGGGTGGTGCTTAGCATTTCTCTAACTATTCTGCATACTTCTAGCTTCAGGTCATTGATAACTTCATTCCTGAATTGGTCTATGAGGCTCTCTAAATGGCGCTTAATGTATATTGGTACAGTGTCCACTATTGCCTGATTCTCAGGATTGGGGGTCGAGGAGCCTTTTTTGTTGCTTCCCTTCCCCATATTTTCTGTTCCTTATGAAATGTAATCTTACACAGGAGGCCCGGCTTCCCTGCCTGTCAGCTACAGCTTGATCGAATTGCCCTGGCTAGTTGTTCCAGCTCACTGCTGCGCCCCAGGGAGTCGCGGAGGAGGCAGCCTAAGCGGAAGTCGGTTGCTCCTCCGGGCCACCGTCAGGCTCTGGGATCTGGGCTAGGCCAGCCTAGGGGGTCCGCGAGCAGCGTCCCTCCGGCCAGGCACCTTTCACCAATCCCGTCCGAGAGGGAACCGTGCAGCTGCAGTTGCCGCCGCGCCCTGCTCTTACAGGACTGCCCGCGCCCAGAAAATCCTCCGCTGGAGTCAGACTGCGGTAGGGAGTCAGTTCCTCGCTCACCTCGCCTCCAGTCAGCCTTCCTTCCTGTCCGTCGCGTTTCCGACTCCGTTCCCGAGCTCGGCGGTCGCGTCTCTCCTTGCTGAGCCGCTGTGGAGGTAGCCGGCCGCCGCGCGGCGGGAAATCCAAACCGAGGTTTCCAATGGCGCGGAGTCGAGCCTCCACACCGAGATTTTTCTGTTCCTATTTTAGCGCCAGGACTGTATTCCAAGTTGGATTCTCTCAGCCCAGTTTGTTCCTGAGTCAGCAGAGCATATCTCTACTGGTTCGTATCTCCTTAGTCCGCATCATTCCTGGCCTCTGAGCCGAGCCTTTAGAGAGCGTTCAGTAGTTGCTGTTGTCTGTCCGCCATGTTCTCACCCCTTTCCAATGACCTTTTCAGTAGGAGCCTTTCCTCTTCACCCAAGGGGTCCTGACATCTTCGCCAGCAATAGCTAGCACAGCTCCATGGTCTTTCTTGGTTTGGTAGTAGTGCTGTTTTTCGAATTTATGCCATGAATGTAGCCTGCTGGACTGAGACTCCCCAGAGAGCGTATTTTCAGTTACCCAGAAGTGGGTCTTTTTAAATGATCGATTACTTAGAGGATGTGGATCCTGAGTCTCTAACATTACAGAGCAGATGAGAGTTCCCGGGGCAGAATGAATGGTCCAGGGCACCAAACCGCACAGGCTGCTTGTGCTCTCTGCCTTCGCTGCCTTCTTGAGCTGTGCTTTTTCTGTGGAGGCTGAGCCCTAGCCCCTGCAGCAGTGTCTCTCTCCAGGCCTGTCCTTCCCAGCTCGGCCCGGCCCGTGGACCCGCTCAGAGCCAAACTAGAGATTGATGCCACATTTTTAGATTAACAAGCGTGAGGAGGGAGGTAAGTTTGCTCTGCCTGGCAACACATCTGAATTGGAAACCAGTGGCTGACTCTTTTACACAAGAAAGAGATCCTAAGGCCAGGACCACTTTATCAGTGAATTTTTGGCAGTATAATGGTGTCTTTCTCATAAGAAGACTGACGAATCCTGCACAACAACAAAGGTTTAACACATCAGTTTAAAGAGATGTCGTTAGCAAAAACCACGCCAGCAGAGTGGAGTGGCTTCTCCTGGAAAGCAGTGGTTTCCCGCCCAGTCTTTAATCTTTTTTTGCAGCTCATCAGTTCTCTGGGACTCAGGAAAATGTGTTTCCCACAATTTACCTCAACTATGTACTAATAAAAATAAAAAATTAAAGAGGAGGGAAAGGAAAAGGTGCTTCCTGTTTGTCCTCCCACGGGAGAACACTGTTGGTGATGGCACATATGTCCACGGCTACCACGGAGAGGCGGGACGTTCCTATGGCCTGAGCCCATGAGTGTGTCTCCAGGGCACCCCACAGGGCGTGCTTAGGAGGTGCTTGGCACCCATATCCTGCCTTTTACCTGCTGTCTTAAGCAAACCAGGGAACCTCTCTGAGACCCTGCCGGCTTGTTAGTAAGTCATTGAGGTCCTCTGTGGTGTTCTGAGTCTCTGGTATAAGCCTCAGCCGCTGTCCTGCTCAGTCAGTGGCACACAGAGGGAAACATTTCTGGGACAGTGGGCAATATATTTTGATTTTTGGTAACTTAATAGGGATGATTTAAGTGTCGGTGGGTCAGACCTTACACAAGCTGCAGGTTGAGGTGGACTGGAAGGCAGGCCATGGGTGGGGCCTGGAGTGGGGGCCCAGCAGGGAAGGTGCTGCACAGACAGCAGGGGTTCTTCTCCTCCATCCATCCAGGTCAGCTGTTGGACCCATAGGGTGGGAGGGTCTGACTGGGAGAGGGCAAGTGGCAGCAGCTCCTGACAAGGGAAGGATGGGCAAAGCTTTTCCTGCCCTGGCTGGGGAGGAGGATCCTGTGGGCAAAGGAGTCAACATGGTGAGAGAGGAGAGGCAGTGGAAGCTTATCTGCTTCTGAACTGCCTTGGACTCGTCCCTATAGGAGATGTCCCCAGAGAGGAAGGACATGAGCATGAAGGCAGGGATTCAGCTCTTAGGTTTTCAGAGTACAGCAGGTGAGCTGTCACTTTGGGATTCTGGAGATGCTGAGGTCTGAGAGAATCACCAGTGACCCTCTCTCACAGCCTGGCTCCATCCTCTGTGGCCCATCAGTGGTAGGGTGGGCTCAGAGCCAGCAAGAAGGACCATGTGTGTGAAACAGTGATGTGGAAATCAGCCACTGAAATGCTGGCCATCTCAGCCTTTGTATTTAATAAGTCTACATTTATTCAAGAATGTCTAGAAAATACCTTGAGGAAATTTTCCTTGGGATGTGTAGGACAGTCTTCTTACATTTAGGTTGCCATGATGTGGTTTCCATCATGAGCACAGCGGGATTAGTATTTCATGATTCCAGCGTACATGGACTCTGGCCTACTGGGGAGCTTTAGGACAGGACTGTACTGATCTTGTCTGTAACAGCTTCTGAACCGTCTGGAGTTAGTGGAACGGTAGGACTTGGCCCTGGCTTATAGAGGCTATTGACAAAGCAGTGGAGAACTAGAGAGAGATCCATTTGGCCAACTGGGGGTATTTCAGAACTGTAAGTGGACACAGATGTGAAACAGGAGCCAAGCCACTGCTTAGCCACAAGCCAGCTTCCTCTGTGACAGCCCTCCTGTCTAGCCACCTCAGTGTGGGCTGTATTCTGAGAGCAAGCACCACTGCGGAGCAAGAATCCACATCCAACAGGGGTCCACGAGGGATGTGGAAAGAGTCCTGTGTAAGACTGTGCTCTGGGGAGCCAGGGCAAGTGCTAGCTTCACCGGGGAGATCAGATGGCAGCCCCTCCCCCTACCAGGCATCCTGGCTCAGTGGGGCCCCTCCCCTAGACTGCTGCTGCAGGTAGCTCACCCGCTGGAGTACAGCCCCCTGGGGGTTTGTTTCTTTGGTTGAGGGCTGCAGCCCTTTCCTCAGTCCCTGCAGACTTGCTTTGCCAAATACCTGAATACAGATGCCAGCCACCACAACCTGCAGCCTGCCCTGACAGTAGGCTCCTGCGTGGCTACCACTGTCCTAGGCTACTTCTCAAGGTTTCCAGCGATAGTGCCAAGAATAATGACCCTCCCCCCCCCACCAGTATGAGGAGCCCACAAGATAGGGTTCCTAACCAGGGCACTTTCCTCTCACCAGCCTAGGACCTAGGAAGCCCAGACAGAGGGGAACTGGGCCTGAGGTCTGCAAGTTGTTTGTTCTCCTGGTCTGCCTTTCCCTTGTGTTTCACTGCGGTGGTTTGGGGAAGGAATCCACAATCGCAGGCCAGTCTGGAGCCAGGTTCTGCAGAATTCTGTGTCTGGGAACAAGTGAGCTCTGCTGGCAAGTTCAGGCAAGCCTGTCTTTCTTAACACAAGCTTCCGGGACCTGCCAGTCTGCACCATCCGCCCTCTGGAATGGAGAAGTCTCTGAAGCTGCTCACCGTAAGGCTCCTCTCTACCCCCTTTCCCCTGGCATTTACTCCCTTCTTCTGTTCTCCACTTACTGCCTCAGCTTCCCATTTCCAGTGTGGGGAGAGGCAGCCCTGCCCTTATCCTTCCTGCCAGGCTGCGGGAGTGAGGTGCCAGGCTTCCTCAGCACCAGCTCAAGACTCAGAGGCTTGAAGGGGAGGCGGCCCCTATGGGCATCTGTCACTTCTGCTTCCCTGTCTCCTCTTTACCTTAAAGGCCAAGGTGTGCTGAGACCTGGGTTGGGAGTAACAACCGGGTTTATTTTACAATTTTTGGTAAAAAGCGAGTTTATTTTACAATGTTTGTTGCTTTCCTTTCTCTCTGCTTCTCTTCCCTCTCTGCCTCTCCCTGTTCGGCTGGCCTCTGAAGCTCAGCTTCACCCCAGGACCACGTCACAGGCTCTCTGAGACTGTGAAAGAAAACTGCAGTGATCCTTAGAAGCACTTGGAGGTTCTTGGGCCAAAAAGGCGTATAAGAACCCCAGCTGCTGAGGCTCTTCCTCGGTGGAAGGTGAAGGGCACAGTGTGAATGGGAGTGGACGCGATGGCCACTGTGTGTGTCCTCAGAGGTGCTCAGTGGCTCAGTAGTGTCCACGCTAAGGAGGTCAACTGTCCAGGAGGTCACAGTGGACACACAGAACCTACAGAATGTGAGATTGGCGACAACAGGAGGTTGGCAGAAGATGATGGTAAGAGATGAATGGGCCTTGAGCTCAGGGACACTTCCCACAAAGGGGAACCTGACCCCCCATGGCTGTGAGCTGTCTTCACACCAGACCCCTCTTCCCTGAGGACAGGGGTGGGGCTGACAGCCCTCTCTAGGTGTTAGTCATGGAGAGGACTGTCAGACCCAGGGAGGGAGGTGACCTGCGGTCAGCTGACAGATGCCACCCTGTGACTTTCATTGTGGGAACTCAGTCCTGGCCTGGCTCTAAGCCATGCTGGGAGAGGACGAGGTACTGGCCAGAGACCAGACAGGAGGCCACTTGCTTGAGGAAGCCGTAAGTTGTGAGGTGTGAGGCCTAGATATGTGGTTCCTCCCCACAAGGCCCTGACAGCTCCTGAGCCTCCAAACACACCCGCAGCTGACTCCCCTACTCCCTTCTGGGCTCCGCAGTACCTGTGCACAGGGAAGCCAGTGAAGGGAGGCTGAGGAGAAAACACAGTCCTCACACTGAGCCCCTGGTCTTCCAGGACCCATGCAAGCCATCAGGCTCATCCTCTTTATCCTGCTCAGCCTCCACATCCTGCCCGGTCTGAGCACAGCCCCCGGGCAAGGGAGGGCTGGGTAGGCACTGGAGGAGCTGGCCTTCCCGCTTCATTTCTGCCAGCTCCTTGGCACAACAGCTGGGTGTGTTGGTCTCATAGGTGTCATGGAAGGTGTTGTAGTCCACTTCATAGAAGCCCTTTTCCAAGGTGAGGACTGGCGTAAATCGGTGACCCCAGAGTACCTCTGTGTCCATGTAAGAGCTTCGGGCTTGACAAGTCATGCCTGGGGAAACAAACCACATGCATTAAGGTGCCACCATCCTTCCATCCATCCAACCAGTACTTTTTGAACATCTACATTGTGCTAAGCATCTTGGTGTAAAGCTGAATAAGACATCATTTTTGTTCTGGAGGAGCTCAGACATGGTGAGGTCACAAAATTAGAAATGAACATGCAAGACTCTGGAGTACACTTTTAGGAACTAGAGGCAAGGTCACAGTTCCTGAGAACAGCATTCAGGTCTAGAAGAGTGAGACAGGAAGTGGTAGGAAAGAAATTTAAAGATAAATTTAGAGTGAGGGAGCAAAGAGTAGCTGACAGGCATTTAGAATACACGCTGATGGTGTCAGGTGGACAGATAGGGACAGAAGCCTACACACTCATGAACACACAAAGACACATATGCCCAACCATGCAGTCACAAATGCACCCACATCTATGCACGCACGCGTGCACACAGACACACACAGAGTGGCTTTTTGGTTTGGGGACACTCCAGTGCCTCCATTCCTGCTCCCACACAGCCCATTCCATGCCCCTGTGATTTTTAGGCATTGCTTTCTTTCCTGAGAGGGAGTACAGCTTTGTTTATGGATGAGGTGACCTCCATGCTCAGGGCCACAGGAAGCCCTGATCTTCTGGCCAAGGAAGGGACTGGCGTGTGCTCTTTGGACACCAAAGGAGAAATCTTCTCAAGCTCTCCACTGTGTGTCTTCTCTGGGAGCAATGTCTCACAAATCAGACCCAGGCCAAAGGCTGTGTCCCACTTAACTGTGACCTTGGAGCCCACATGCAGGGGCTGTGACCTGTTCTCTGCTCTTAGGGAACACCTCCAAGGGCCCAGTCTTTCCATTCTGTCCTCACCCATCACTGCCACCCCACCTCACAGAGGCACAGAGACACAGACTGGTCACTGATCAGCCTGGCTCCAGGTCAGATGGCAGCAGGCTTCTAGGTCTGCGGTTGGCACAACCTCTGCAAGGGCCTTTGGGGCAGCTGTCCTGGCCTTCTCTGGCTCTTCGTTCTGTGCTTCCTCGAGGGATGCAATAGTGGGCTGCCCTAGATCCCTCACTGCTTGAGATTCAGTCACTGTCAGGACATCCACATCACATCCTGCCCGTGCCTTTCTGCTTGGCTCCATTTAGTCATTTAATCCTCCCAACAACTCCAGGAGGCTGATTTGCCTCATTTTGCCAACAAGTCAAGCCACTTGCCCAACTTACTCAGGTACACGCTGTGGCAGAGCGGTGCTGTTCAAAACTGGCCCTGAATTTGCACCCAAGCCTTGCTCTGCGAGATTGACAACCAGAGGATTCAAGCTGTTGGGGTCAGAACAGATGTGAGCACCTGGTCTCATGCTCTGATCTCCATGGCTGTCCCCTGCACTGGGCAGAACCAGGCTGCCCAGCCTGCTCGAGGGGAGGAGGTCAAGTGGCTGGGGTGTCTCAGTGTGGGCCTGGAGGGAAATGTGAGGTGAGGAGCCAGTGGGCCCAAGGTACGGGGTCTGCTGCATGGCTGGTGAAGGGTAAGGCATGGCTTTCTTCTTTGCCTCCTTTGTGACTTTAGGGGGTAGCTCTTTCCCAGAAACAGCTCGTGCTCCGATCCTGGGATCAGAGCACCAAGGGCAAGGTGACCCAGGAGCCCTCAGCTTGGTGCCATGCAACTTCCTGTGTCCTGACTGTCCTCAGCCCCAGGGGGCCCTGCAGCTATACCATATGCTGCCTGGCCAGGCTCTGGCCTCCAGCAGATGGCTGAGCAGCCCCTCTGGCACAGTCTCCAGAGCCCCACGATGGTCCCTAGCATTGCACTCCCCTGGCCAGCTCCACTGGCCTTGAAAAGAGACTGCACATGGAGGGCCTTGGTCCGCCACCCAGCAAACAGCTTCAAAGGCCAGGCAGAGTGGTTGACTGCCTTGTGACAGGCGCCTGACACATTGGGGGCCAGTGTGGTAGATTGGTAAGTGAAGGGCCTGAGTGTGAATGCTCATAGCCTGCAGAACTGTTTTGAGGCTCAGCACCCACATCTACAGTATGGGACTGAGGCAAGACTGACTTGGTTTGCAAACATTAGACGAAAAGCATGTGCCGCATTCTAAGCACGGGTGGGTTTCTGCTCAGCCCTTGTTAGGCTCGGGCCTGCTGCTCAATCCACTGGATGATAAAAAGGAAATAAGAAGCAGGGTGTAAGGGTTTGCTGGGGGGGGGGGCTCCCTGCACGGGATGTGGGGCCCCAAGAGTTGGTGAAGGGTTGGGGCCTAAACTCACAGCAGAGCACAAGCACCCTCAGGCCTGCGGAGAGATCTCCCTGGCTGTGTGGCTGGGGAGTGCAGGCTCTTGGCTCCCCACTGCGTGTGAGAGCTGGTGGCAGCAGAGGGGGCATTCCTGAGTGTATGCCCCTGTGTTCCGGTTTTCTGTGAGGAAGGACCCTTGTGTACCTTGCTTTCCTGAGCCAACCAATGGGAAGGGAGCTGAGTGAGAGGCTGCTTCAGACAGGAATGCTTGGGAAGAGCCCCTCTGCCTGGACCACAGGGCTCCCCTCAAAAAAGCACTCTGCAAATCACCTTGAGTTACAAAAATACTGGCCCCTTTCCTGGTGTACAGATGTGGTAAAGTCCAGCTCTACAAAACCAGCTCACTTTCGTGTCTTCCCGCATTTTCCAAGGTCTTCTGACACTTACTGCAGGATGGGGGGCGGGTGTTAGGGCCTATTGGAAGGCATATTTGGGGTCCTCTGGCCTGCTCTGCCTCCTGTCTCCTGACTCAGAGCACCTGCCTCTGTTTCTTGTTGAACACTGTTTACAGGGGTGCAGAAGGGCACCGATGAGAGGAGGTATGTTTAAAGTCTAGTTCCAGGCTTGGAAATTGGGGGTTCAGTCTAGGGTTTGCTGTTGCTACTACTTAGTTTTGAGTTACAGTACCCCCAGGTCACAGCGGATGATGGCTGGGCTGTCTGTCTCCTCTCCTCCTTCTCCTAGTCCACTTCTGGAGGGCACCGGCCTTAGGCTCCTGGGAAGGGGAGGGAACCGTGAGCCCGCGGAGGACAAAAATGTCTTACCGGTTGCTTCCACCATCCCTTCTAGGATGACCACCACCTCGAACTCCTCCTGGTGCAGCTGGGCCCGCGACATCTCCCAGAAGGGGCTCTTCTCGTTGATCTCGTGGGAGATAATGAGCGGGGACACCAGGAAGAGCCGGTCGTCGCCGGTGTCGAAGCCCACGTTGATGTCCGTCTGGTTCAGGGGGATGAACTCCCCCTCTTTGGTCTGCCGCGACTTGATGAGCTTGGCCCGGATGGACGCCTCCACGATGTGTGAGTTGCGGAGGTCGCCCACGCGGAACATGAGGCACAGCTTCTCGTCGCGCATGGAGATGACGGCGTGGTTGGAGAACATGAGGGTCTCTGCCCTCTTCTTGGGCTGGCTGATCTTGACGAACATGCAGCCCACCATGAAGGCGTTGACGATGGAGCCCAGGATGGCCTGCACCAGGAGCAGCACGATGCCCTCGGGACACTTCTCCGTGATGACCCTGAAGCCGTACCCGATGGTGGTTTCGGTCTCGATGGAGAACAGGAAGGCAGACACGAAGCCGCTGAGGTTCTCCACGCAGGGGATCCACTCGTGGTCACCCACGTGGTCCAGATCGCCTCGGATGTAGGCGATGAGCCACCAGATGAAGCCGAAGAACAGCCAGGTGGCGGTGTAGACCATGGTGAAGACCAGCAGGTTGAAGCGCCACTTGAGGTCCACCAGCGTGGTGAAGAGGTCGCTCAGGTAGCGGTAGGGCTCCTGCACGTTGCCGTGGTGCACGTTGCACTTGCCGCTCTTCTCCATGTAGCGCTGGCGCGGCTTCTTGCCCTCCGCCAGCAGGCGCGTGCGGTCCGTGGACAGGGGCGCGTCGTCGCGGGCCTGTTTGGGGATCTTCTTGGAGTCTCGGGGGGTGACTGCGATCTCCATGTCCTGGTTCATCGCGTTCCTAGAATCACCAGCCATTGCTGGGGCACAGTGGGTTAAGAGACATCATGGTGAGTGGGTGCTCGGCTGGGATCACGGACACGCGGGACTGGAGGCTCTCGCGGGCCTCCTTTGGGGGAAGGAGGCCCGGACTGAGATCCAGCCGGGTCCTGCGCCCTTCTATCCCCGACACCCTCTAGGGTTCTTGCGTGGATACTGCACAGTGCTTCTAGCCAAACTGCACAGAAGTGTTTTAAGGGTCTAAAGCTATCTGGGAGTGATTTACAAAATAACTGTTGCAACAATCCATCACACACCTCCTGTGTTTCATGTGTGGCATTGAAACCACACCCTGACCTGTGGAATTAGACTGGAATCTTCATCATAAACTGGGTGCCTCTGAACTGCGCTGATTTCTAATTGTTTCTCTCCTTCCCTTGGGATGTAAACTCCCCAGGGCTTTTTTTTTTTTTTTTTTTTTTCCCCGTCATGAATAGAGATTGAAACAGGACTTTTGCACCAGGCTGTCACCAGCCACACCTTCCTCTTTTTCTAAAAAAAATTTTGGGGACTGGGTCTTGCTAACTTTCCCACACTGGGCTCAAACTTATCATCCTCCCAGAGTACTGGCATCACAGGTGTGTGTCACCACGCCTTGGCCTTGCAAGGGCATAATTTTGTGTCTGTTTGTTACCTGGTACCTTTCAAGCACCTAGAAAGTAGCCTGGTATGTACTGTGCACTCCAAATACTTACTAAATAATTGAACATATAAATGAGAAAGTAGAGGCCCACAGTGACAACTGACATCCAGGCCACCAAACACAAAGACCCGGCGCAGCTGACATTTAGACGCTTGTTTTCCTGGCTCAAATCCTGTGCCTTTTCTTTCATACCTGGCCATTTCCCTTCCTGTCGTCTGGGATGTTTCAGCAGCAGACACAAAGGAAAAGGCAGCGCATGTCTGAGTCACCAAATGTCGCCTTCACTGTCTGAGTGGGGAGCCTGTGGCCGCCCGAGCACTTAGGAAAATGACAAATTGCTGAGGAGATCCACTCTTACAAAATTTGATCTAGTTACTCCCTAAGAAATTGAAAGGAGCAGGATGTGCATATCCTGGACTTTTAACAGGACTGTAAACAGTCTTTCTTTTGAGGACTTGGCATGCTTCAAAGAGATACCCAGACACCTGTCTGATATGCTGCCCAAACCCATTTAAAATGCTTTAAGGCTCTGCTGAAGTTGAATAGGACCATGAGAATCTCTGAAATTAATAAGAACAGCTAAATTTCTGAGCACCCAGAGCCAGGAATTGCACTAAGAAATTTACAGTCGTTAGCTCACTTAAGCCTACTATAAAGCTATTGCACAGATAGTTATTATCTGTCCATTTTTTAGACACGTGGTAGAGTTCAGCATTAGGTTGCCTGGCTTAAGCCTGAGGGCTTCAGTGAAGCTTCATTTTAATCCAAGTCCACTGCCCCTCACAGCTCTCCACCCCCTCCCCTGTGCCTTACTGTGGACCTGCCTTGCTGGGTCCTGCCTCCTCTCCCCACCTACTGAGGGCTGCCGCAACTTTCTGGGTGTTCAGTTCCCCCAGAAATGCTTTGAACTGATGGTTCTGGGCTTAATGCTTCCTTCTTTAAACCTCAGCCAGCCCCATCTTAGGACAGTTTGGGGGATGGTTCTTGTGGGAAACCCCATGCCACCACTTTTGGGGCTACTCCGGCTGTGAGTTTAGCTGGGCAGAGCATCAACAAAAAGTCCACCTGATAGAACAACCCAGTAAGTGTTCTGTACCCACTGGGCCAGCCCTCACTGCCCAGCCAAGGCCATTTTATTCATCCTGGGAGGTCAGATGGCACTGGCAGACTTTTCCTTTTGATGCCTGGGTGGTTGTGGCAATTTCAAGGTAACCTTTAAGATATCACACTGAAGAGGCGTGTGAAGGGCCGTTTGTCTCAGATATCCATCAGCCACAGCCACCTGCTCCCCACTTGTCAAGTGGCTATTACAAAGATAAATGAAATGAGGAGGGAAAAGGCTTGGGATTCTTTGCAGAATCCCAGGCAACATCTTGCTCTGCCCCTGGGGAGGAGCCTTGTACTGTAAACCTGACCAGTGGCGCTCAGACGTGTGGTCCAGTGCTAGGCCGGTTACCTGTGCTCCTGGGGACCTCAGCTGTTGGGACTCAGGGCTCTGGGCTCCCAGCCATCTGGGCTGGGTGGCACCAGCACGGTGCCACGGAGTGACTTATGGGCCAGGGCATTGGGGAAAGCCCATTCTTCTGCTGTTAGCTCTTGGGGGAGAACACCTTTTTGATGATTTTCTGCACTGCTCCCTTGTTTATTTTTAAACATACTCTCATATGTTCTTGTAGGAGAAACCCTTGTGCTGTACTAGAAACAGAAGATGTTTTCTAGGACACCTCCACCCAGGCCTGGAAACTTTGTGTCTAGCAGAGAGGGAACGGCCACGTACTTCTGATCTGAGGTTGGTATACAAGCTCTACGCACACTGGAAGTGACTTTTCCCTCAGCCCAGGCAAGATTTGGGTTCTCTCTCAGGGCTCAACAAACTTGCTCTGTGGTACGCAGAAAACTAACCTTAACTTGCTTGATCCAGTCTTCTTTTCTATAATTCTCTGATAATATTCTTTACTCCTTCAAGGACCTATAGAAAAAATATGTGATTATATTTTTAAATGCATAAATATAAGCATAACAAAATCAACTAATGTAGTTTCAGAGCACAACATTGATATGTATTTATTAAATGAATAAATTCAGGAGCCCCCATTGAATTTAATTTAAACCTAGTGCAATATTCTATTAGCTCTGTTTTGAAGATGAAGAAACGGGCAAGGGACATCTAAATCATGCAGGTGCTGATCCAGTACAGTTTGCAGGGCAGGTAGTGAGCTAATTGGCAGGGAGCCTTTACCATCTAGATTTTTTTAAAGGGTTAGCGACTCGGTCACCCTAAAACCCACAGCCTTCAGGGCTGTCTGCTCATGGAGCCAAAAAGCTTTTCAGGGACAATGGAGGCGGCCTCCTTTAACCAGATTTTCAGTCCATTCTATTAAATGCACATCCATTTGGCAAGCATTATCTGAGGGACTGCACAGTCCAGCCCTTGTCCTGGGAGCTGGTAATAAAGCAGTGTACATGATACACGCAGATCCCGCCCTCTTGGTGTTTAAGTTCTATCCCTGCAGCTTCGAACCTAGGGTTTGCGCAGATGTGTGTGTCAACAGAGAGTCAGAAGACAGGCATGGGCCTGGCTGAGGTCAGTTGTCCAGCTGTTCCCTGTGGGACACCAGACAAGACTGTGACTCAAGAGAATTCTACGAATCCTCGCCAACCTGTTACTCTTCATCTTCCGGCCCCTGTGCCCAGGATGGGAAGCCTTGCTGAGACAAGATGAAAGCTCTCGGGCAGCGGTACTTCCAGTCTAGCCGAGGCTTCGTCTCTTTGATTTTACACGAGTGGAGAGAGACTCAAAACAGACCAAAGGGAGCTGTGCTTCAGAGGATGAGTGAATCTGACATGGACCTAAATGGGCTGCGTAAAAGGGATGTGGGGCCACCCTGCACGGAGAGGAAGCCAGGAGGCCGGCAGCAGCTGGCCAGAGCTGCACTTAGGGCTCAGGGCCTTGCTGGAGGGAGCATTGGGCTGGGAGTCCCAGACACCTGCATCAGTTTCCTCTGCCTGTCTGTGTGTGCGGGGTCAGCACCTGCATCCCTGCCATGTGAGGCTGGAAGAAGTGAGGACAAGACACACTCACAGCTCAATTCAAGACACTGTGTGCACACTTACACGGCTGTGCTGGTTGTTAAGATATAAAAATGCTCCAAGCTGATTGAGGGGGGAGGCTGTCCCAGTGCCCTTGAGGACAAGGTCAGGAAAAGCCTTAAAGGTTTGTAGGGTGTGTGCCTCATAGGAGAAGGCAGAACTGTCCTCTGATGCGATACATGCTGCTTGTTACATCTGGGGACGTGGGGGTGGGACCATCACTCCTGTGTCTGGGATTTGTTCTGTGGCACAGCTGACCCTCAGAAAGGAGGGACAGATGGGGAGAGCCTGGCTCAGGCACAGAGACCCTTCAAAGGAGGTGACTCAATCGCTAGAGAAGTTAGGTGACAGGCAGATTTCTCCTTTACTGCTTTTAAAGATGGAGGAGACCAATGGCAAGGAGAGCAGTCATCGCTCGGAGCTGGGACACCTTGCAGCAGACAGCAGTGAGGCGGCAGGGCTCTCAGTCCTCCAGCTAGAAAGAACTGAATCCTGACACAGTCTGGACAGGACTCTGGGTGATGAATGGCTGGGAAAGCCGGCCCTGGCATCCGGCTGCCTAGGTTCCTGTTCTGCTTGAGCTAAGGCACCTTGCAGAAAGTCACTTCTGTGAGCTTCAGTTTTATCTGCAGAATGGAGATGATAACAGCATCAAGCCAGGGGAGTTGCCGAGGAGGGAAGTGAACAGCGCATGGACAGTGGGTGTGAGCAGGCCGCCCCCTGTGACCTTGACACAGGCCATGTTTCCACTGAATGCATGCAAACTTCGTTCCCTAACCAGTAACTGTCTATAAATTTCTCTTTCACACCCAGGCAGAGTCTGCGCCTCTGGCCCGGGCTGAGCTGGTTTCCTTTGCACCCACTACCATCATCCCTGCCTACAGAGGCTGACTTGTGGCTTCCTGGGTCCCTGGCCTGCCCCTGGCTCCTGCGCCCTCCTGAGGCAGGAGAGTGGAGAGGAACCCTGAGTCTCTTAGGGCAGGGAAGCCTCAGGCTGGCAAAGTAAGGAGCACCACGGACGCTGGCAGCCCTCCAGCACACCCGCAGTTTTCAGTTTTCTAACGGTCCTGGTGAGGCTTCTCTACCTTGCAAACACCTTGTAATCACTGAAGCTGATCACATGCGATGCTGGGAAGCTCAGTCTCAGCACCTTTCTTCTCTGGGAACCTTGGATTTTGCTTTGAGTTTTGCCAAACATGGCACTAAGGATTGTGATAGCATCAATACATTTCCTCAGAACTTACCTTTTTGCACTAATCAATCTCTCAGCACTGCCTGTCAGCCCTGGCGACACAGGGAGGCAGGAGGCCCCAGGGAAGACCTGGCATGCTCACCATGGCAAGCAGAGGGCTCAGTGTGGTGCTCGCACCATCCCCCAGCCTGGCCCTGTGGTCCGAAGTAGCCTGTCTGTCCTTCCCAGCCCCTGCAGGCATGCAGATGGCAGCTGTTGTAAAGTGCACCTTTCATCTTGCTGCCTCCTTGACCTCACCGTGTGCCTGGCAAGAGGGGAGAGAATCACACCCGGGCCATGGCCACGGTCCTCCATTTTGCTAAGGGTAGAAATATTCCCAGTGGGAAGATATTTCTGACTCTAAACCTTCTGGAAGAGGGCTGTAAGGATGGAGGGTTGGGGTGCGAGGCCTCCTGAGCTGGTTCCCAGCTCAGATGTGATGGAGGCTGTTAGCCTGGTTAGGGAATCCCTAACCAGGTTAGGGCCCTGGTTAGGGCCGTGGAGCTTTGTCACATGACTGGGATTACAGCATGGTTGTGGTGTTTATGTCCAGGGTGTACCTCACTGTCCTGGGCTCCCCAGGGCTGGAGGAGTGCATTGTCCTTTAAGCTCTGCTCAAAGTGAGAGGCCCCAGAAGGGCTTCTCCTAAGTGCTCCCAAGGCAGAGTCGATAAGGAACTGAGGCTGTGAGGAGCGCCCTGTGCCAGGAACAGGGCAGCAGGGCAAGGGCTCTCCGTGGAATGTGGACCAGAAACAGCGTAGGTCTAGAAATAGGTGGTGTCAGATGGGACACTTCATCGCTGTGGAGCTGTCCCTACACACAGTGTCCTCTGAGGCCACGGGCTCCTCGGGTCGGCAAGGGGACGTGTCACCTCAGCCTACAGGTGTCCTGTGCTCCGACTCCCCTGGCATGGCCAGGCAGCCTGGGCTGCCTCTGCTGCTCGGAGGGGAGCTCGTGACCCTGTCCCTCAGCATGGGTGGCCTGACTGTTGAGAGCACAGAAGCTGCAGATGGAGATGCAGGAATAACGCTGCTCCCAGGGTCACTCAGCTGTGCCTTGTTTTAACTCAGGGACCCCCAACCGCGCCTGCTTTCTAGGATCACCTGTCCTGTCTCTGCTGCATGCCCCAGACCTGTTTGCCTTTGTTTTGAAAATGTGCTCAATCTATCTCCTGTAGCAGGTTGTTTTTCCTTTCCAGAAAAGCCTCAGAAACCTGTGTGAATGTGTGTGTGTGTTTGTGTGTGTGTGTGTGTGTGTTGCTCACAACTCTGAACCTGGTGCCTCACCTGGTAGGAGTGACGCATCCATTACACAGAGAAGGAGACTGAGGGTCAGAGCCAAAAGCAAATTTGCCCGAGGCCACACAGCTCAGAAGCTGCAGAATCTGGCTTTGACTGACCTTGGCCTGGCCCTACAACCGGCTGTCTACCGGAATTAAGGGATCTCGGTTGTTAATTATAATTCCAGTTCTCCTGGCCACATACTCCTGTGTGAATCCCACGTCACTCCACAGCTTCCCACCCTGAGCCTCCTACATGAAAAATGAAAATACTCTTGGGAGTAACAATGTTTAAAAAAGACATGCCATTTTATCAGGAAAATTCTATCTTACCGAATTCAAGTGTAATACACTTGGCCCTCTTAACCTGAGGGCTGTATCAGGAATTCATAATAGTGGTATGACTATCACACAGAATGATGATTATGGAATAATAGCAGTGATTTGCAGCTCTCTTGGGCTCTTCCGAAGTTCTGGGCTGACTCAGGAGGTGCCTGCACTAGTATTCCTGTCACATAGCTGGGACAATGCTCCCGTCTCATGGCTGAGACAGTGCTCCCATCTCACGGCTGGGACAGTGCTCCCGTCTCACGGCTGGGACAGTGCTCCCGTCTCACGGCTGGAGACAGTGCTCTTCTGAGGGCACAGAAATGCCGGCTCAGCCTCTCCTGGGATGCTGGCTTTGCAGACACAGAAATACTGATTGTGAACTTTTATGTGACACAAATGACAAAAGATTTCACAAGAAGCCTATCGGGGACCCTGACTTCCAGCCACACAGCCAAGGGCCAGCAGCATGGCAGAGGCTGGGGCCTCCCAGTGTGGGGCAGCTCAGACAAGGGGAGAGGATCAACTGCAGCTCTGCGGGGTCTCAGCCTTGGTGCCCCAGGACTCTAAGGAAGCAATGAAGCTTCCTGCGTCTTTTCTGGTGTCTGGGGGGAAACAAGTGCCCTGTTAGAAATGCTGAGGACTGATGCATGGCTACTTTGTCGTGAAATAAACAAAAAGACCAAGAGTTCATGACAAAGATAAAAAGGCAACGAGAGAGAAAGCCTCAGTGTCTTTCACCAGCGGGCTCTCTAAGGAAGCCAGAGTTCTTGTCTGACAGGAGGACAGACAGAGCTGCCATGATACTGGAGACAACACCGGAGAAAAAAGCATTTACCAGATCCAGTGGGGCACACGGAGGGGCCCCCAACACATCCTGCAGGGATCGGGCTGAACCTGTGCTGTGAGTGGGGCGTGGTGGGCTCACCCGCACACACAGGGAATCATCACTAAGGCCCCGAGCTTTGCAGCAGAGGTTGCTGGTCTGCGTGGCCCCGAGTCCTTAGGGTGGAACATTCTGGGGCCCTCCCTGCTGGGCTGGGGCCCCTCATCTCATGGCTCTTTGTCTGTGCTGCATTGAGCATGTATTCACATCCACCCGCTGCATGGCATAATCCACATGTGCCCTCCCAGTCCTCTGCAGAGACACAAAAAATCATGAATAAAAAGGCGTGAAATCAACTTAATTCATTGCTCAGGTTCCCCATGTCTGTGCCTGTCTGCTCAGCATCTTTCCTGTTTCAAGCCTGCCCTTCTTTGAGAACTATCAGCATCATTCTAATGCCCTGTCTGCATGTCAACCCCACTCTGAATGTACCCTGCATTAAGGAATAAGGATTAAGAACTAAATCAGAACGAAAACCACTGTTTCCTCTCCATGGCTCGGAAGAGATTTCCTGGGCTGGTGCAGATTTAGCAGTGGTCGCTGGAGAATGCAGCCCCAAAATGTGTAAAAGGCAGCACAAGCCAGTGAGGTGACAGGAACACGATTACCTTCACCGGGGCACAGAAAAGCAGGGATGGGGAGGGAAGGCAAAGGGACAAGCGAGAGGGAGAGTCCAGGACAGGGAATAATAGGTCCGCTCCCAAAACTGTGCTGAGGGCCGTAACCAGGTGGTGTTCTAACCGTTTCCCACACGTAGACTCATTCATCACTTCGGGGAAGACACGAGGTAGTTATCACCTCCCCACTTTATAGACAAGGAATGGGAGGCTGAGAGCTGAGTTAGCTGAGTTAGTAAAGCTAGCAAGTTGCTGATCAGGACTTAGCCCAGACTGGGTGGCCCTGGAGTCACACTCAACATCTAGGGAAAACAGGAAAAGGGCGTGGCCAAAACCTGTGGGGGACAAGTCAGAAAAGTCCCACAGGAGACCCAATGAAGCAGGGTGAGCTGGTGAGAAACCGAGGCAAGGTGAACAGGAGACTGAGAGTAAGTGGCTGAGGGGGAATAAAGGTAAAAAGCAAAGGATGAAAAGAAAAGGCCAAGTGGAGAGAGGTGAGGGTGATCGTGGGCAGGAAGGGAGAAAGGAAGAGCAACGGACAGGAGCAGTCCAGGGAACGCAGTCACAAGCACCTCAGGCTGGGCACTTCCCCGTGGCGGTATTTGACCTTCTTCCTGTTGATTCAAAGTAGATGCTAGCAGGCCCATTTCTCAGAAGGTGAGCTGAAGGTTTGCACAATGAACCAATGCCCAAGGTCACAGCCATTACCTGGCAAAGCAAAAAGAGCTGCCAAGTACAAAATGATGGAGAAAGAAACCAGAGGTGAGCGAAGACTCGGGAGAAACACACTGTGCTCCTGGGCCGGGAGACTCCGGATGTAGTTAAGGAGCTGGCTCTCCCCGCACTGACACCCAGATCCAGGGCAGCTCCTGCAAAGCTTGTTTTTCTATAGACAGAGATAAGTTTATTCTAAAATTTAAATGGAGAGACAAAGGAATTAATAAAAATAAAGTGATTTTGAAATAAAATAATAAAGTGGAAGGCATCAGTCTCCCTAGTGTCAAGACGAACCACACAATACTATCTGATATTGGCAAAAGGGCAGCCAACAGATCAGCAGGACAAAGATGCTCAACTTCTCCTCCACAAAAGTGCAAAAGGAACCCAGTACAGAATGGACAGTTTTTCCACAAATGTGAAGGAGCCACCTGAGTTCCGTAAGGGGAGACCCTTGACCACAGTGTTTGTTAGACATTCTCCAAAACTTAACTAACATGGCTCGTACACTTAAATATAAAACTATTTTTCTTAAAGTAGTAGGAGAAATTCTCCAAGATCTAGGGCAAGCAAAAAAAAATCTTAGCTTTGACAGCAAAGGCACTATCTGTAAAAACATACACCGATTAATTAACCTTTATCGGAATTGAAAATGTTTGCTCTAAAAAACACTGTTAAGATGAAAAGGCAAATTATAGAGTAGGGGAAAAACGGCTGCCAGCTCCTCATGTGACAGAGGACTCGTACAGAAAACATACAAAGAACTCACAAAACTCACTGGACACAATAGCAAAGACTGATCCAGCGAGAAAGTGGACCAAAAGCAGCTTCCTAAAGAGGATACACAGAACGCATTGAAGAGGGTCAGCATCCTTAGACACAGAAAATTGCAAATTAAAACCAAGACAGTCATCATGATGACAAGAAATAGCAGCAACACTGCCTGCTGGCAAGGACGAAGAGAAACAGGACCACTTGCTCGTTTCTCGTGGCAATGTGAAAGGGCACAGTCACCATCGCAAACAGTTTTGACAGTTTTTTAAAAAAATATATACAACTGCCATATGACCCAGTAATTACACTTCTGGGCATTTATCCCAGAGAAGTGAAAACGTATGTTCACACAGAAGCAGGTATAGAAATATTTATAGACACTATTGGTAACAGTCCCAAACTGGGAAAACTTAGATGTATTTCAGTGGGTGGGTGGTTAAACTGTGGTATGTTTACTCTGGGGATTACCTACCATTCGGCAATCCAGCAACCACACACACACACACACACACACACACACACACACACACACACACGATTGGATCTCTGGTAATTATGTTGAGTAAAAAGTTGCATGGTGAATGATTCTATTTATACACATTTTCAGGCCAGTGCTGTATCACTGAGCGATATCACCAGCCTTTTAATATCATTTTTGAGATGAAAAAAGTTATAGAAATGGAGAACAGATCCTTGGTTGTTGGGGGATTGGGGGTAGATGGAAGAAGGGGCCCCAAGAGCTACTCTGTAGATGCTAATCACCAGGTACCTGTTTGGACATTGTGCTGTGGTTTTGTAGGATGTTACTACCACTGAGAGAAAGTGGAGAGAGAGGATGATCCATCCCCGTAATTTCTTAAAGTGCACGTGACTTTACAGTTATCTAAAAATGAAAAAGATGCTTAATAAAAATAAGATAGAGTGTGCAATAGGAAAAGGGCCTTAACTAAAGAAGAGCAAAGGACAGGTGTGATCAAGAGGAGGAGAAAAAAGCAAACGTGGAAGGAAAAAGAATAAAACCTGAGGGAAAGAGGAGGAGGAGGGGAAGGGGGAGTAAGATACGAGTCCCTTTGAGGAGCTGAGGGGTTGGGATGACCAGAGATGACACGTGGGCGGGCCAGTCCTCCCTGAGCTGGCCCACATCTGGGCCCCAGCTCACCCTCTCCACCGGCCCTTCTAACCTCCCCTCCAGCCCCCTGTCTGCTAACCTGTGTGTGCCCCCTGGAGTGGTCACCACACCTGCCTTCCTGCTGGAAGCCTGGAAGCCTTCCCTGTGCCCGCCCAGTATCCCTCCCTTCCATGGCTCTGTGCCTGTCCCCAGTGGTACTTGTACCCGCTGTAACTCACTGCTGAGCAGGCCAGCATTCCCTTAAGGGCAGGTCAGTTTGTGTGCAAATGACACCAGCCTCTAGTCCAGTGGCTGCCCAAGGCCCAGCCCGCAGTAGGAGTTCCACGCACCTCTGTGAAAGAATGTGAGGAACACTTCGGATTCATCCAATGAAGGGCCCTGGGGCCTGGACACCTGTGCCTCCTGTTAGCCCTGGGGGATGGTCGCCTTCCTGAAGCAGGGCAGCACCTCAAATCCTTGCTCTCCTGAGCTCAAGTCCACCTTCTACTCTGGGCCCAGTCTGGCATGGGTGGGGGAGGTGGCAGCATCCGAGAACAAGCCCAGTCTCAGTGGGCTGAGCCCAGCTAGCATCTGAGATGCCCCAGGCTCTTCCCCTCCTTTTGCTTTCTGAGCCCAAGAAGTGACGTAGGGTGATAGGCACTGGGATCTCCCTGATGGTAAGACAGGAAACCAGAGATGCACGAGAATAGGTAGGGGTGAGAAGCACCCCAGCCCCGGTTTTGGGAGTGACATTGCAATCCTCACCAGGGCTCTGTCCCCAGACTGTCTGGCCACCCTTTGGGTGGCCCCACCTGCCAACTGGACTGGTTATCCCTGACCTGTGCCCCCAGCCTGGGCTGGCCTGGAATAGGACTGGAACTTAATATTTAAGCCCCAGCCAGGAACTCCAGGGTCATGTGTTAAAGGTTTGGCTCTGACATTTAACTTAGCACAGCGCTTGGCAGGGCTCTCTGGACCAGAATAGCTTCCTTATCAGAATGTCAAGGTAGGAACAAGCAGAGAGGCTGGAGCAGCCACAGCCACCCCTCCCTCCTTCCTTGGGGAAGGGGAAGCTGTCTGCTCTGTTTAAAATTATTTCAGGGAAAGCCGCTTCACACATCTTTTTGAAACAATAATTCAGGTATTTTTAGTCAATGCCTCTCTACAATCCTTTATGCCTGAACTCTCATTCTTGTTCTTAGGGAGAAAAATAGAAAAAGTCCCCCCTGGCTGACAGCTGTCTCTGCAGTCCTCTGATGCTGGGTCCCCTCTCCGGTGCTTCCAGCTCCCAGTGACCGTTCTGTGGCCCGTGGACGGTGAAAAGTTTAATCTAGAAACAGCCCCCAAACTCCTGAATGGATCCCCGCCCCCCACCCTGCACTCTCTCTCCATCAACCCCGAAGCACAGCCTTAAAAATTCAGTCAGTATTGGCTCAGAAAATGCAAGGAAGCTTTTGCATTCTGCTAAGTGGAAAACATAACTCTGCCCAAATGACCACATTCCAAGATCTTCAAAAATTAATTATTCCTGGTGCATGGTAGGTGACCGAACAAGTGGCCGTGAACTGATCAGAAAACGAACCAGGGACAGATGTAGCTTTCAAGCACATGGATGGGTGGCATTGCTTTTCGTGGCTTTGTCCACATAAGGCAAGCAGAATCATGTCACTTTAAGAGCAAATGGGAACCAGAAAAGGGACACTAGTCATTTCTTCCCTGTGGGGGTGACTATATCAGAGGGGACCAGAGCAACCTTAAGAACCTCAGGGTTCCTGACAAGAAGCCCAGTTGAGCGCTTGCAGAAGGGCTTCAGGAGACCTTGCTTGCTAGAAGAAGCAAGGCCATGAGAGTGCCATGATTGCCACACTCGTGTGTCTCTTGGACCCACAGCAGGCTGAGGTGGTGGAAGGCTCAGGGGAACCCACAGGCAGGATCCCTCTGAGGTCTGGCTTCAGCAGCTCTGCCTTGGGGCAGGTCCGAGGGGCCAGCTTCCTCCAGCTGAACTGCTTGCTGACTGAATACTCATCTTCTGTTAAATGCACTTAGGTAAGAAATTGAGGAGGGCCACAGCACCCAGCAGCCCGGAAGGGAAGTCTCTGGTCTTTCCTTCCTGTTGGGCAGCTCGATAGTAAGTCCAGGGAGGATTGCTGGGCATAGTGTGCATGCACGAAAGTTATCTAGGTGAAATTTCCTTTTTAAAATAGCAGCCTGGTGCCTCTGCCCGAGGACTCTGCTGAAGGCCACACCATGCATCTCTGGGGGAAGGGATGGGTGCCCAGCAACTTATAATCTGAGTGAAGCCACCAAGCTTTTGTGTCAGAGCTCAAGTCAGGGCTTTTCTTTCTGACCCCAGAGCATTCACTCTGCTCTGCTCATCTGCCAGAGTCCAGGATGCCAGCAGATGGGTTTTCACCTGCTCCTGAGTGAAAGGCACCAGACAGGTGTGGGAGGCGAGAACCCCTGGAGGGGGGCGTTTGATAATGCGAAGCCCCTCATCTAAAGCCAGAGCACAGGAGTTTAGAGGATAATGGCACTGCTATTAGGGGCTCTGAATTCTTTTCACATAAAACAGGAGCACCCACTCTGCTTCACAGGAAAGTGGTCAGGGTTAACTCACGCAGGGTCCTAGTGCAGCACCTCAGCTCCAAACACCAAGCTCCTGGCTGTCTCTGCCTCACGTGGGAGAGGGTTCTTGGGGCCAGCGAGCCCCAGAGCAGCTCGCTTATGATGAAGACCAGGAATGTCTCTCAGTCAGGACCATGTGAGCATCTCCCTTTAAAAGCCATGTAGCTTGGGCAAGTGATCTTTATCTGGGGCTTGAAAGGGCTCTTGGAAGAGGCGTTGGGGTGTTTTTCCATGCTCACCCGGTTTGGGGGGTTGTGTAACTAGACAGGGTCTGAGCAGCCAACACTGACCCAGGGCTGTTTTACAGCCCGTGATGGGAAACCCTGTCTGAGGAAAGACAGAATGGGGTGTCAGAGTGGCTGTCCAGGGGGACACACACAGCCATGGTGAGGAGGGGGAGCCCTGCCCCTGCCTCTGCGCCCTGGCCCCATCCTCGTCCTGGGGACCTTTCCCAACAGTCTGAAAGGTGTTTGAATAGAAAAAGACAGTCACACAGGAAATGACCCAGGCAGAAAAGAGCTAATAAAAAGCTGCCTTCCCAGTTTGGCCAGACTTAGGTAGATTCAGCTGAGGGGCTGGGGCTAAGGGACTCACCACCCGGCTGGCTGTCCCCCTGCCTCCTGGAGGTGAAGCTCTGCTCAGAGCACTTCCTGCCTTCTCCTCAGGGGCCTGGCCTCTCCATCCAAGGTTGCCAGATTTCGGGCACCCCAGGAATCTCCAGCCTGGGGAGCAGAGGCCTTTATAGCCCTCTGGAGGAGGGCTCCCCGCCCTAGGGCAGCCCCTGCGGGCCGCAGAGGGCTCTCATTTCCTGCTGACTGTCGACCCTCCTTGGGCTTTTCCTCTCCTTCCCAAAGTTTCCTTGTGAATGGCTGCAACCAGAGGTCCCCCCAATAAGTGTGGAGCGGGAGCCGGGAGCCTGGAGAGGGAAAGAAGGCGTCTTACCTGTTGAGACCCAGCGGCCAGGTCCCGAAGCTGCCGACTTCTGGGATTTCCCTTAGGGCTGGTGAGGGGTCTTCAACGCTTTGGGGGATTCCCTAGCCCCTCACTGGACCCATTGGGTGCAGCCTAGCCTGTCTCCCAGGTCCTGGGTCCTTTGGGCAGGGACAGCGGCGACTAAAGCATCCTGTCCGCTCTCCCTTCTCCAGCGAGATCAGCCAAGGCGCTCGCCTCTCTCTTCTCTCTCTTCCCCCCCACTCCCCTTCCTTTCTCCCCCCCCCTTCTCGGTCCGCACTACAGATGAATCTCTGGATAACCACGCGATTTAAAGGGCCACAGACCAAGGGGGGTAGGGGGTGGGGCGCTGGGGGCGGGGTGGGAGATGGGAGCAGGGCAGGTGTGGCTCAGACCCGAGAGCAGGGCAGCAGCGCTCCCCTGGCTCGGCCACCTCCTTGCCACCTCGTGTTCGGACCTGCGCGCCCCGTGGACAGCTGGCGCGTGGCTGCGCCCGCGTGCACATGCGTGAGCACGGGTGTTTGTACCCGCGCGTGTTCGTGGGCGTGGTGCGGCTCACAGGAAGAACTCAGGCGGGGCACCGGGCAGCGCTGCAGAGGGCCTGAGCGGTCACTGTGGGCAGCTGCGGGGCGCGTGGGGTGGGGTTTTGCGCGTGGGCGGATCCCGGCCCCTCCCTGCCTTCCCTCTGGGGTTCCCCCCGCCCCTGAGGAAACACGCAGGAATCTGTATCCCATGTGAGTTAGGAGGTCAGCCTGATGCCGTCTGGGGTCCCCCCTGGGTGGCCCCGTCTGACCTGGCGCTGCTCCCCCTGGCCCCTCGCTGCGTGTGCCCAGCCTCTTGGGTTGGACACCCCGATTCCAGGGCCCTGCGCTCCGTCTCTGTTGAGTAGCCATCCCCTGCCCTGGCCCACGTTGTCTCCGAAGGCAGTGTCCTCTGCATGGTGAGGACCTAAAGGAAACAGGTTTATCTCATTATAAGGAAAAACCGCTTGCGGGGTGGAGCACCGTGCTCAGCACCCAGGGCTCCTAGCAGGTCTGCAGGGCGCTGCCCTCCCCCCACCTCGGTAGAGAGGCTGCCTCGGGCCCTCCTAACCGGGGACCCTGTCCTCCTGGCAGGCGTCCCCCTGTCTCCGCGCTGGTTCGTTGTATGTTGGTCTAACATTCTGGGAAGGAGGTGCCAGATTCTTAGATTTCCCAGTCCTGGAAGAGGCCTTGGTGGAGCACAGTGCTGAGGCCCCGCTGTCGGGACGCGCTGTCCGGTGGGCTCCGGGTGAAGCGTGGTGTCTGTGTGTCCCTCTCCGCTGGTGGGTTGATGTGTAACAGATTTCACATACAGCTAATTCCTACCAGACTTACAAGTCAGGCTTGTGGGGGTGCCACCCAGGCCACGGTGAAAGATCCTGAGCTCACTGCGTCTCACCGGGGTCCACACTGAGAAGGCCGAGAAACTTGCCCAGAGATGGACGTCCAGAGATGATCCCAGAGACTGCAGCGCCCCTAAAGAAGCAGCAGTGAGGCTTCCTCCTTCCCTCCCCTCCCCTCCCCTCCCCTCCCCTCCCCTCCCCTCCCCTCCCCTCCCCTCCCCTCCCCTTCCCTTTTTTCTCTTCCCTTTTTATTCCATTCAGGCTACAAGCCTTTGCATAGGTGCCACTCACACCCAGGGCCCCTCATGCACACCCACCCAGGTCTGTGCTAAGCCAGTCAAGGAGAAAAAAATCTCAAGTGGACGCAGCAGTTACCTCCCGCAGCTGGCTTTGCCACAGAACGCAGTGACCTGGGAAACAGTGCTTTCAGGGATGAGCCCTGGGCCAGGGACAGAAGAGCTGGGTCCAGTGCTGTGTGCACACATGAAACACATGAAAGTGGTCTTCTGGTTCTGACTGGCTGTTGGGGGAAATCCAGGGTCATCTCTCTCCTTTGCCCAAATATCCCAGAAAGCACAGGCGGGGTGCAGCTTGCCAATTGTGAAGCTACTCCTGCAGCTCTGGAAGGTGCTAAGCGTGTCTTTTATTCTCTGAAAATTGATGAGGAAGTGTGAGAAAGCAACAGAGAATTTATGCGCATTGTCGCTGTTAATTAGTGTGCAAACCTCCTCCCCTGTCCCCTTTTATCTGTTTTTCTTACCTTCTTTCATGGAGCGGGAGATGAATTCACAATTAAAGTTTTCTCTTTAGAACATGACACAGGAAATTATTTTTTCCCTATTTATAGCAGTTCTCTTTGCATTTGTGAAGCTGGTAATGTCTCATAAATATTTCCTGCCAGATAAAATATTAATTAAAAGAGTTCGTTGAATTAT